CAGAACCCTTTGACACAGGCTCCAGCTTTGCCCATGGACCTGGCAATGTGCCCTGCCTTACTTCCCCCACCCCCATTACTCACAAGATCCCCAACACAGTTCCTTTCAGCCGCTGGGGAAGCTAGGAGGAGGCTCTGGGCCGGAAATGGGAAAAGCCCTGCTTTTGCCAAGTGGCCCATTCTCCAGCCCAGTGAATAGGGACCTTCACAGTCCTGCTTTTGGCTGGAACTCTCAACAGGAAGGTAACGTGGAAGCTGTGCCAAGCACTGGAGGATGGAGGAGAGTAAAGAAAGGAGGAAGTGAGGGATGTGAAATGGATGAGACTACTTTCCCAACTGAACCACTATTGGGGTCACATGCTCAGGCAGGAGGCAGCCAGAAGGACAGAGTGGCCCAAGGTTGCCTCCGCGAGAGGCTTGCCTTTCAGCCTCCCTCTGACCAGCTTGAGCTCACCTCCTCTGCAGCTGATTCCCTGGGCATCCGAGGGCCCTCAACAAGTCACCTCCCTGTTCTCTCTGGTCCAGACCCTCATGAACTCTTGCCTGTACTCTTGTAATAACCTGACCTCTGAACTCAATCTCCTCCCTCCCTCCACCTCCACCCCACACCACCTCCTAAGTCCCAGGGCACCGCGCTGATGGTGCTGCTCTCCAGGGCAAACAGAGGACGTCCAACCCTTTACCTGACATCCGAGGGCCTGCAGTCTGCTCTCAACACCTCTTTTGGTTCTGTTGCCTGCTGTGACTCTGTACCTACCCTGAGTTCTAGCCAAATTCAAGTTGGTCTTCAAATGTCCCCAGCACTTCAGCCTCTGGACTTCTGCCCCTGTTTCATTATCTGCCTGGAATGCTATTTTTCTTCTGTGCATGCCCCTATTTATCCTTCAAGGTCTAGCTCAAATGCTGCCTCCTCCACAAGGGAGGCTTTCCCTGATCTCCACTGAGAGCTCCTTACCCACCGCTCAGGGCAGTGATCCTGCACCTCGTCTAGAGCACGCATCTTCTATTCTGGACAAGAAGTGTGCATGCATGCAGTAGTTTAAGAACATGAGCTCTGCAGTCACACTGGCTGGGTTGGGATCCTAGTTCTGCTGCCTATCAGCTTGACGACCTTGGCCTGGGTATTCAACCTCCCCACATCTCTACGTTCTCATTTATAAAAGAGAAGTAACAAAAGTAAAACTTGTTCAAGTTGCGTTGGCAGTTAAGTGAGATAATACATTATATGCCTGGCATTTTGGTGTTCACACCAGCAAATGTTATTGCTATTATCTCTTATATTAAATCATGAGTTCCCTGAAGACAAGCTCTGTGTCTGCCTGTATTTGTAACCACAGTGCTGGTGCCTAGCAAATACTCTAAACATAGTATGAACTCAACAAATGTGACCTGTGAATGAATGACTCTTTCACGAACCAATCCAATCAAGGCAATCAACTTACCATGCACCTACAAGCCAACAGGCATTGTGTTACATGCTCAGGACATACACTTGTGGAGGTCCTTCTTTAATCTTTAGCTACATAAAGTAGGTTTTTAAAACCCCAATTGTAGAGATGAGTGGTTAAGTAATACACAAGGGTCACACAGAGCCAGGATTTGAGTTCAAGTTCACCTAATCCCAAATCCTATGCCTGATGCTCTGCCCATTGATAACACTAAATAATCTCAAAACCCTCTTCCCTCGGCTTCACACATTGAGAGAGACTGCATAAGGAGGTCTTGTGCAAAAGCTTCCTGCTGCCTCAAGAAATGTGCTCTTCTGCCCCACCCAAGACCTGAAGGCTGTTCCCGTTGTATCTCCTCCTTATTTTGCATCTGGGCCCTCCTCTTTGCCTAGGTACCATAATCTCCTGAACTTGAAGCCACTGGAGACTAGAGAGCTTCTAGAGCCTTCTTGGAACACCAGGCTGTCCTAGGAAGACCTCCCCTGCCTGAGAGAGGCCCCTGTGCCTCAGGAGATGGCCTCCTGCAGCCCCCGCGGCCCCCAGAAAGCCTGGCCAGCCTGGCTGACCTCACCCAGCCTTTGCGCCTTCTATTTGTGCTCCACTTGCCCGGACTCACGTGGAACGCCCTGTGAGTGTCTCACATCTGCTTCTCTGTGTGCCTGTGTCTACCCCATTGGCTGGAAGCCCACAGGGAGCCCATGTAAGGAACAGCTGGTCCCAAGGCCTCGTGTTCAGGCAGGGCTTCTCTTTGGCGGCCAGAGCGGGAAACGACGTGTTCCCTGCTGAGTCGTGGCAGCCTCGCCCTCCTCAACCTCATGCAGAAGTGTGTCAGCTGCTGCTGCTTCTCCCGCCATATTTCACCCCTGAAACCCAATCCTTTTCCCTTTCGGGAAGTGGGAAAGGGGTGACTCTTGACATCTATCTAACTGAGCCAGGATCCCCCTTCTGCAATGCACATTTTCTGTTTGAGAGAGTTGAGGAATTCTACTCTTCAGGCTGTTGGGAACTAACCCTTCTTGTCCAAATTTTCTGGGCCAGGATGCAGGAGGGGAGCACAGAATGCCTTGGGCAAAGATGATTTCTCAAACCTGCTTGTGCCTCCTTTTCCAGCAGGTTTTTCCTCGGCGTCTGCAGGAAGTCCACTTCTTATAGGGAATTTAGGGAAGCAAGTGAGTGCAGAGCCTCACCAGTATTCCATGAGGCAACCCCTAGGCAGTTACAGAATTAGTTCCAAGCCAGGCGGCACACTGTCCTCCTGGGTGGCAAGGGAGAGCCCACCTGGGATGAACCATCTGCGGTTGCAAAGACCTCCCAGCTCACAACACAAACTAACTGTAAACCTTTCTCACCCCAGTGCACACTTGGGGTATGAACCAACCAACACCTTCCTCGTCTAGCCACAACCAGGCTGCCCTGAATTCAGTCCCAACAGTCAGCAGAGGAAGGCAGCCAAGCGGTTGACCCAGGCTAACTCTGTTCTTTCCCCTTTGCTCCCACCGGGGGTACTGAGGCAGGGAGATTCGGCCCAGTGGCCCTTAAGCATGGAGCCACGGCATCAGAGAGTGCGTGAGTCTCTTAAGAGCCGACTGTCACTCTGTACTGTCTCATCTTCCAGCAGGCTGGCACTGGGGAGGGGGTGGAGCACCATGGGGGTGGTGGTGTGCAGAGCTCTCCCATCTGAGTGTCATTCTGGGCCCCAGGCCAGGCGTTTGGCTTCCTCTCCAAGGGAGTCAAAGGCTGAAACTGCTCAGACAAAGGGCCAAATGAAAGCTAACGGGGAGTTCAGTGACTTCAGCCTCTCCCCTTCCTCCTCCCAGGCACAGGGGGCTCAAGTCCTTGGCAGGAGAGGGTGCAAATCAAGCTCTGGAGCTCGGCTCAGTGCAGATTCCTATTTGTCTTTTCTAGTCTCCTGGCATCCACAAACTCTGTCTTCCTCCCCTCACCACCTCCCACCTAGGGTGCTGCAAAAAAATGTAAATCAGTAGGATTTTAAAATTCAAGCCCATGCCAGGAACACCCACAAACCCTGGATGAAGGCAGATCCTGAGGTGGGTGGCATGGTCCCTGATTGCAAGCACAAAGGGAAGGATTCTGTTAGGTTCCTGTCTCAGCATGGACTGTGGACCTCAGACATTTGTATGTGATGACCTTGACCTTTCTTTCTGGTGGTGGACACATGAATGGGAAAAATAAGAACAGTGTGTGTGTGGGCTGGGGCCACCATGCCTTGAGAAACACGTGCAGGCCAGTGTGGGAAGGGGCGTCCTACAGGTTCAGAAGAGAAGCTGCCGGCACTCGGTGTCTTGCGGAAGAGGCAGTTCTCTAACTCAGGAACTTCCATCACACAGAAAGTGTCACCTTGCAGGAGGAAGAGCTAGGGAAAGGATCGTGGAGCCCACAGAGCCTGGACGGGGCTGTCTGGAGGCGTGCCAGGTCAGGAAGTATCAGGGAGAACACCTGCGGCTTCGAGCGCTGCCCCCTTCCCCCACCCTGCTCCGGGGCACTGCCAAGTTCCCTCCCCAAGCAGGAAGCCTGCAGCCTTAGCAGGCAGGGGTGAGAGCGGCTGTGATGTAATCCGGAAAGCCAGGAGCTCACACTTTGGGGACCCCTCTCTGCTGCTGCGCGCCTAGATGCCCCTCGCTCTGCAAAGAAGGGCAGGGAAGTGAAGAGAGTCAACGCCAAGACGGACAAACCGAAAGAGACAGAGAGGCAGAGGCAAAGGCAGGAGCCGGGGGTTGAGGAGCGACCGCCAGGGCAGAGACGGGGTGCACGTGCAGGGTACCTGCCTGGGGCTCAGCTGGTTGAAAGAATAAGAAACGCGGCCGCTGGGGCTTGCGGTGTCGGTGCGAGGGCACCCGCCCCCCCCCCATCCCTGCGTGGCTTCAGCAGGCGCTCCTCCCCCGCCCGGCCCGGCGCCCGCACCCCGGGGCCTCCGCACGCTCCCTGCACACTCCGCGAGCCCAGACCCGACATCTGGCTGGGCCTCCGCAGCTCCCGCTCGCGACCTGCCAGGCGGCGCCCCTCCTCCCGCGCAGGGGCCCTCCCCGGCATCACAGCTGCCAGCCCCCTCCCTGCTGGCAGGCAAGCCCGGGCAGACAGCCGGCCAAGCCTGCCCCCGCAGCCGCGCCAGCTCTGCCAGGCCCGGCAGAGCTGGGGGCCCGGGGCAGTGCCACTCCCCTCGAGCCAGCGCTCCCCGCCGGTGTCCGGCACAGCCTCGGCACGGGGCACCGGCGTGCGGCGCTGGCGCCGTCGGCGGCGCCCGAGTGTCACTCGTGGGCGGGTCTGACGGTCTCCTCGTGGGCCCTCTCTCCTCCCTCGTTTCAGCCTAGGTGCCGCTCCCTGCCTTCTCTGTCACTTGTTCCTGCCTCTCCACACTCTTCGCTTCAAAGTTTCTGCGTGGCCTCTCTCCGAGGCCAAGCCTTCCCGTTCGCAGGCTGGTCGGCGTCCTAACCTCCCCTCGGCCCTCCTGCTCCCGGGGGCTGGGACCCGGGCCAAGTACCCGTCGGGGCGGGCGGAGCAGCCCCGCCCGTGCCCGGGCCAGCCCCGCTCTTACCAGCTCCTGTTTGAGGCGACGCAGATAGCAGTCCATCTCCCCGCTCTCCTTCTCACGCGCCCATCTGCCGGGCTCGGTTGCTCGAGAGAGTCCACACCGGCGCCCCGGAGCCCTCCGCGCCCTGCCGGCTCCCGGCCCTCGCGCGCCGCGCCTCTCGCAGCGCCGAGGCGAGCCTCAGCTCCCCGCCGGCGACTCGGAGCAGCTGCCCCTGCCGCTCGCTGCGCGCGGTCGGGGCCGGGGGCGGAGGGAAAAGTGGGGCAGCCAATGAGCTTTCGGAGGAGAGGTCTCTGGCCAATGAGAAGAGCGCTCCGGGGGGGGGGGCGGCGGGTGGACCCGGCCTGGGTGTTTGCACAGGGCCCCAGCCGCGGCCACCGGGGAGGGCGGGGGGCTGCTGGGGGCACGCGGGCCGGGCCGGCGCGGCGTGGGGCGTGAGACGGCAGGCGCGCGAGTCCCAGTTTGGCTATACGGAGAGCAGAGTTTTACCATAGCGCTAAGCGGGCCGTGCCAGAGTGGCCGACCTGTTAACCAACTTCGGCCAGGAAAGCCCCCTCCCCACGGAGCTCTTTTCTTTCCGAAGAGGGTCTGCGAGTGTGGCGCCTCCTCAGCCGCTAGTGTAGGGTCCTGCCAGCCCGCTCCGCACCCACGGAGCGGAGAGGCGCCTCGGCCCAGCGGCTCATTGAACGCAAAGCCATGGCCGGTCTGCGGCGGTGCGGGGCAGGGCTGTGGGTCCCGGGTGGAGGCCGGCGCGTGGGGGCCCGCGGGAAGAGGAGACAGGTCAAAGGGTCAGCACGGCGGTTTCAGGCAGCGGTTATTTAGGCGGGTCGTGGGACGGAGCAGCTTCCACCGGGCGGGCAGCGTGTGCGGGAGCCTTGCCCTCCCCGGGGCCCGGGCGTCCTCCGTTCTAGCGGACGCTCGGGCCCTGGGCCACGCGCTCGACGAGGCCGGGAGACCAGCGGGACGCAAGATGCTCCGATGCCATTCAACAGCCTGGTGGAGCACACGAGGTGCGGGAGCTGCAGCCGGGCGCTGGGCGTGGGCTTCGACGGGCGGACTCCGGCGGGACGCGCGGGGCAGCCGGGCTCGGGACTCGCGACGCCGGCCGGGGCCGCCGGCCCCTCCTGGATCCGAGGCACCGCAGCACCCGGCCGAGCCCGCCCGGGGCGGTGTCGCGGAACTGGAGAGTAGCGAGGGCAATTAGCGACGAGTTGTTTCGAGGTAATTAACCGAGGGGAAAGTTTGCCTGGGAGAGGATTGGGGGCCGGGCGAGGAACCGAGCCGTGAGGACGCGAGGGATGGAACGGAGGGAGAAGGCAGGCGCTGCGGGCGCTGTGGGTATGGCGATCCGTGTCCGGCGAAGGCGTCACTGGTGCTAGCGGGGGGGGGGGGGGGCAAGTGGGAAATGAGGAGGGGAGAGAGCGAGATCTTTAGAAGCAGGACTCTGCGCGGTCCTGCTGAACGCCCACTTGACCTCAGTTACCGCAGGCCAGGCAGTGGGGCAGCAGCCGACGGGTAGAGGAAGAGGAGGCACAGGTGGCTCAGGTGACGCGGTCCGAGGCCTGCGCCCCGGGGGCCGCTCGTTGAGCCGAGGTGCAGGCGCTGCGCTCCCCTCTGGCCCCTCGCTCTTCCTCGGGGTCGCTCGATGCTTGGGCCACTGCACAGGTTGGAAAATTCGACAGCCGCAGGGGGCAGCTTCGGGGGTCTTTCCCAAGCCCGCTAGGAGAGTCTGAGAGCTCCTTTTCTTTTGGTCTCTGCGCCGGCCGTGGGGTTCCATCCCCGCCGTGAGCGAAAAGTCTCCCAGAGCCCCCTTTCTGTGGGACCCGCGGGGTGCTCGCAGTGGGAGCCACCTCCGAGGCCCGAGCCGCAGGTTCCAGCCCTGGGCAGCCAGTTTGGAAGCTGAATTATGCGGCATTCAGATAGCAAGGAGGACCTGGCTATTGGCATATGGTCCACAGAGGGACCCTTAGGTGGGGGGAAAGCCTGAAGGGCCTTACTTTGCTGGCTGTTAGATCTCCAGCCTCCAGCGCCATGGTCAATTGCAAGAAACTGAACGAACTTTGAGGATCTGAGGTTGAGAGGCACATTAGAGCCCAGTGTAACTGGTTTTCTCCACTCCTGAGACCCCAGCCCCCAATCCTCAGGGAAGGTAGTCTTTCCGGGGCAGGACTGGCTACTTAGGTCTTCCATACCACACATGTGCTTGCCTTTCATTAGGCCTGTTTTCCCAGCCTAGAGTTGTTGTCATTTTTTAAAGATTTCTCTATTTATTTGAAAGGCAGAGTTACAGAGACAGAGAGAGATGCTCTGTCCTCTGGTTCATTCCCCAAATGGCCTCAGTGGCTGGTGCTGGGCCAGGTTGAAGCCAGAAGCCTAGAACTCCACTCAAGTCTCTCACGTGGGTGGCAGGAACCTAAGCATTTGAGCCACCTTCTGCTAATTTCTCAGGTTCATTAGCAGGGAGCTGGGTTGGAAGTGGAACAGCCAGGTCTCCAATGGGCACCCATATGGGACTCCAGTGTCTCAGGCAGCAGATTAACCCACAGTGCCACAACACCAGCCTATGGCCTCATGTTTCTTTTTTAAAAAAATATTTATTTTTATTTATTTGCAAGACAGAGTAACAGAGAGAGAGGTAGAGACAGAGAGAGAGGTCTTCCATCCGCTGGTTCACTCCCCAGCTGGCAGCAATGACTGGAGCTGTGCTGACCCAAAGCCAGGAGCCAGGAGCTTCTTCCGGGTCTCCCACGTGGGTACAGGGGCCCAGGGACTTGGGTCATCCTCTACTGCTTTCCCAGGCCATAGCAGAGAACTGGATCAGAAGTGGAGCAGCCGGGACTTGAACCGGTGTCCATATGGGATACCGGCGCTTCAGGCCAGGGCTTTAACCTGCTGCACCACAGTGCCGGCCCCCGCCTCATGTTTTAACCTATGTGAATTTAGCATTCTTACATTCCTTACAACCATTCGTGGAGTAGTCAGGACCAGGGAGGTATTTATGCCACCTGAGAAACAGGCGTGTGTCTGTGTTAGCAAAGGCAGCTCTCGTTCTGCCCACTTTTGAGTGCAGGAGATGGCAAGCAGAGGGAAACCAAGCACCGTGATCGCAGTGCAGAGCTCAGAAGAGCGCTGGATGAGTCTGAGGGCCACTGCTGTGGTCCTGTAGGACCACAGGCGACAATTACTGTCACACGCTGCAGTCCCCTCACGATGCAGCTCACTGCTGGCTCCCTTGCTCCTGAGAAGGTGCGGTGGCTCGGTGTGTGTGTGTGTGTGTGTCTCAGTCTCTGCCTCTCTGTCATCTTTTTCCTGAAGAGGTGGCTCTCATCTGGGCAGGACAGGAGACAGGAGTAGGAGAAAGAACCACCTCCTGACTTTTCTTTTTAAGGGTTTAAGTGATAGAGAATAAAGCCTGTTGCCATGGTGACATAAACATGGGTAAATATTCCTGGCTCGGTGTGGGGGTTGGGGAGAAGTGATTCATTTTTGCTGAAGAGGCATCAGATGGCTCAGCCTCTTCCCTCCCACCCCCTGAAACTCAGCCTGGAGGGAGGCTGAGATTATCTAGCTGAAAATAAATAATGAAGGACTCACAGGTCCTGAGGTTGGGAGTGAACAGACTTTCTCAAAGGGGCCCAGAGCTGGGGTAGAACCCCCAGAAAGCCCCTGGACACCTGCCCCCAGCTGGCGGGGTAAGTGTGTGGCGGGCACTTTTCCTGAGGGTGCCAAGTCAGGGAGGGTGGCCCCCTTGGTCCCAGGGCCAGAGGCTGAAGTGCTGGCAGCAGATGAAGAAGCTCAAAGGGAGAGGCAGAACCTGTTGTGTCCCAGACTCAAAGGTGGAAACATTGCCATTCTCCTGGCTCTAGACCGACACCTCCCACCTGCAGGCCCCCATCCACCTGGTCCTGGTCAGCTCTGGGGGAAGCAGTGCCCAACTTCTCAACTCCACCAGCAACAGGAGAGCCAGGGAGCTCCTGCTGGAGTGAGGAAAGAGATGCACAGCCACACACTGCCTGGAAGCGGCATCGTAGCAGCACCTTCCCAGGGACACGGGGCCATGTCCCCACTGGCCTCCTCCCTCACTGGCCGCAGCTGCCAGCCATCAGCATCCCCCTCCCCCTCCCCACTCCCACCACGCCTCCTGAGCATCAACAGGAAAGGCTGACCCTAGAGATAAACACGTGCTGTTGGAATGTGTTCAGATACCAGTGCAGAACTGTTTCTCTCCAGGGAGAGAACCGTGCCTGATGGGCTGGCCCAGGGGTGCCGAGCAGAGCCAGGGTGTGTGTGTGTGTGTGTGTGCGTGCGTGCACACGTACACACACACAAACACAAACACACTGGGATGGTGGGGGAGGAGCTGGATTGAAACTTAGATATTCTCAGAAGAATCCAACTCCTAGCTCTCTGGATACCTTCCTCCGGCCACCTTAGGGGGGGCCTGGGTTCCAGCCCCCAGGAGAGACAGCAGAGAGGATGAAGTGGATGTGTGTGTGTGTGTGTGCGTGTGCGGGGAGGCCTCGAGGCTCCAAAAGGATGATCCACTCTGGGTTTGAACCAGAAACCCTTTGGAAGAATTAAAGGCTCTCGTCGTCAAAGTGTCCCTGAGCTTTGAGTGTCCTCAAACAAAGAGTGTCATTCTCCCTTCTTATGGATGGAGCAAGTGAGGCCACGAGGTCAGGCTGGGTGGCAGTGGAATAGGAGCTTGCAGTTTCCAGAATGGCACGTTGCTCCCACTCCTGCTCTGCAAGAAGCAGGAGCCATGTGCCCCTGAGCTGGCACATCACCGAGGAGATAAGAGCCATGGAGGGAGGGCGATCTGGCAGCTCCACAGCCACACAGCTGCTATCGCTTTCTCCCATCGTGTGGACCTGGACCAGCACTCTCCAAAGTCACTGGGCGTCAAGGTCAGGTTACCAGTTACGCAGGTGCTGGAACTTTGAGGAGCAGGACAGAGGGAGTTAGTGGGGGAAGAAAAAGCATTATATTTTGAGTAAACTTCATGTATGAATGATTTCCAGGCTAGCTCACCTACCAATTTAGTGAGAATTTTAAGTGAAAACTTGCATTATTCAAGACAGTTAACAGTTGGTCTATGTTCTGATACTCATCCCTACATGGAGTGATTTGCAGCAATGGGCTTGGTACATGTGGTGTGTAACCAATGGCCTCATTGCTATTTGGGACACAAATAGTTCCATTTTGCAGACATTTGTTGGAAAAGCAAATATTTTTCAACCCCAAAGCACACCTGAAGAATGTCAGGGCAGAGCAAAGGGAAATATTTATGGGATCTGGGCAAACTGCTGCTGGTAAATGCCAACTGCAATGAGGGTGACAGCGGCTTGCTCTGCCTGACTCCCTAGGGGCCCCACGTGGGCCTCCCGGGAGCCTCCCCAAGGCCTGCAGCTCTGAGCACAAGCTCACTTTGTCACAAACCACTCGGCAATCTCCGCACCTGCAAGCAAGTCCCAGGGGCTGGCAGCCTGCCAGAGACCTGTTAGCACGAGGGAAAGAAAGGCTACCTGCTCCTTCTCCTGAGGCCAGGCAGTGAGGGGAAAGAGGCTCCGGGTCAGGTTTGCCTCGCTGCACAGTTGCGCTCATCAGTATGGCTCCTGAGACTCTTCCAGAACTCTCGTCGCCTTGCTCGGGTGTCAGCCGGGGGCACGGTGGAGTCCTGCAGAGCAGCTGGTGCCAAAGGTGACAGCCCAGGAGGGCTTTTGCTTGTCTGGAAGGGTGGGACCCTTTGCCTGGGGTTTCTGAGGGTGGGGCTGTGGCGGGTCTGCACCAGGAGAAAGCCTCAGATCCCCAGACATCGAGGACACCCTGTCACTGCTGAGCAGATGAAGATGCCCACTGCAGAACGGGGGCTGTGCAGGCGAAGGACTTGGGGTTTCTGCACCCACCACCACCTCCCCAGCGTTGGCCAGGTTTGCTTTGATGTGATAACTCCCCATGAATCACCATCCATACAAAGTGACTGGTGCAATGGAGGGAGAATAATAAATCCCCTAAATGGTCTTGTGTGTCTGCCTGGAGGGTTTTTGGAAATTACTTGCATTTTAATTTTTTCTTAGAATCATAGAATTTTGCAGCTGAAAAGGACGTTGTAGATAATCAGTGCATGTGGCCTCATGGACAGACCATAAGAGAAGACAGGCGTTTGAACCTCCAGTCTAGCACTAAAAATAGTCCTGACCTAACATATACCGAAGGCTTTCCTCGCGTCAGCCACTCTTTCTCCCCAAATCCTGGCCAAATGCTGCTCCAGTTCCTCTTTTCTGCAGTGGGGAAGGAGAGAGGGACCAGTAACTCTCTTGGGGTCACATGGAGGGGTGTGTTGGAGCCGCGGCATGGGACTGTCTCTGACTTTAGCCCCACCCCCCACCCCACCCCACCCCCGCTGAATTATTCCCCTCCCGCCCCATCACTGTGTCGCCTTGAACAAGTCATTCATCCTCTTCAGGTCTCAGCACTCTAACAGTCTGCATTTCCTGCCCAGGTGCGGACAGTATAGAGCAGAGAAATTCTAAGTGGATTTCTCCAGGTCAGACCTAGCAGCAGGGACCCAGGCTGAGAGACCTCCATCCCGTCCTCCCCACGTTGGCAGGAGTTGATTCCGGGTAGACGGAGTCAAGAGGTCGAGTTTGGGTGCAAGGGTGGGTTTAGGGGACCAATGGTGGTTGTCTAACTGCCACTGACCTCTGCTTTTCAGGTCATGAGTGAGGATCACACCCTGCACGGTAACCACAGGAGCGTGCATAATGATACGGCTTTGGCACGTGTATGAGGCTACTTCAGAAATTTCATGGAAAATGGAATTCAAAGACAAGTTTATCTTGCTACAAAAACACTTGTGGAATCAATGCATGTTCTTTCATATCACGCATTTCCCACGGAGTCTTTAGAGACCCCTCATCCGTATCCTCTCCCTGGTGGGATTTCCAGTCCTTTGTCCTCTTCCCGCCAGCCCTCTTCCCCAGCCTCTGGCTTCTCTCTCCTCCTTCCCACCATCTTCTGCTCCCTGCCTCCAGGCTCCGGCCATTAACTGAGTGTGATGCGTGTGCCTTGAGAGCACGCAGGGTCCAGCAAGTTCCCAGCTGTGCTCTAGTAATTGGTGTGCACCCCTGTTATCTATTTCCCCAACCCAGTGTCCCCTCTACAGGAAAAGAGATTCAGAATGGTTGGGGGCTGGCTCTGTCATGTAATGGGTTAACTGCTGCCTGCACCACTGGCATCCCATATGGGTGTGTGTTTGAGGCCTGGCTGCTCCACTTCTAATCCAGCTCCCTGCTAATGTGCCTGAGAAGGCAGAGGAGTATGGCCCAAGTGCTTGGGCCCCTGCACCCACGTGGGAGGCCTGGAAGAAGTTCCTGGCCATTGTGGCCATTTGGGAAGTGAACCAGTGGATGCAAGATTTTCTCTCTCTCTCTCTCTCTGTAACTCTGCCTTTCAAATAAATCTTTAAAAAAAAAAGGGGGGGGGCGGCACATGGCTCACTTGGTTAATCCTCCACCTGCAGCTCTGGCATCCCATGTGGGCGCCAGGTTCTAGTCCCGGTTGTTCCTCTTCCAGTCCACCTCTCTGCTGTGGCCCGGAGGGCAGTGGAGGATGGCCCAAGTGCTTGAGCCCCTACACCCACATGGGAGACAGGAATAAGCACCTGGCTCCTGACTTTGGATTAGCACAGCACTGGCCGTGGCAGCCATTTGGGGGGTGAACCAATGGAAGGAAGACCTTTCTCTCTGTCTCTCTCACTGTCTGTAACTCTACCTGTCAAATAAATAAATAAATAAATAAATAAGTGGGTGGCTGTGCCAATAAGCACATCACTGGCCTGTGTCCAAAATGGGAACAGCATCTCAGGAAAGGCATGCTATTCACAATGGCCCTGCACGTCATTGTGTGTGCGTGCGTGTGTGGCTCAGACACTCTGAGATGAGCTCTCACCCACTGCTGAGTGGAAAATTAGCTTTGGCAGGTGAGGAACTGGGTGACAGGTGAGCGAGCCAGCAGGGTATCAGTGTTCTTCTCCTGTTGCCGTTTGCTGGTGTTGCTGGCAATCTCCCTCCCACCTCTCCCCACCCCTCACTGTAACTAGGCACAGTGGAAATGAGTTGGAAGGGCAAGGGACTGTGGGAGAGTGACAGGAGGACGTGAGCGTGGCCTCGAGAACTTTCTAGCTGTGTGCTTTGCAGCTGGGCTGCCCCGAGCCGCTCGGGAATTGACGTTTTGCTGATGGCCCGTGACGCAAGCTGTGTGGTTTACATTTCCAGGGAGTGGAAGCCGAGACAGCTCTCCAGGGACTGAATCTAGGCAGTTGTGCCATATGGTGTAATGTCGGAGGTGGGGAGTGCCAGACCTGGGATGCCTGAGACCTGGCTTCTTGCACTGACTACACAGGGCCCTGCACCGTCTAGTGCCTCGGCTTCTCTGGCCGAGACCAGCCTTCCGTGCAGTGCAGGCCCTTTGAAATGTCAAGAGCTCAGTTCCAAAAGCGAGGGAGGCCAGTGCAGGGCCAGGGCGAATTTGCCAAGCCTCCTGGGGAGGCAGCAGTCCGCCTGTGCTCAGACAGGTCCTTAAGCATCTCGCATCCATAAATCTCATCTCGTTGGAGTAGGCAGCAAATAGGGACAGGGCAGGCTGATGCGCCACAGGCTGATCTTCTTACGGAGCCCTCCTCCCCGCCCCCACCCCAGCCTGTGAGCTCGCAGCCCTCCCTCCCGAGCTCTGGGCCTGTCAGTTTAATTTAACAAGGTTGCAGGAGAGGTTTGATTTAATCAAACCAGTTGCTGTCTCCATCCCGCTCAGGGGTGCCTCAGTGTCACCTCGGAGGCTCAGATTAGGCAGTGACAATTACTTCTTGTGGCCTGCCCCCTCCCTTTCTCTCTCCCCGGAGGGAACAAGGAGGCAGAGACCAGTCTCCCGGGACCTAAGAATAGATACGGGAGGATCAAAGGAGGGAGGCAGCTCGGCCCCTCTGCACCACGCCTTACATGGCTCTGGGGAAGGCTGAGCTGGGCCGCGGGCTGGACAGAAACGAAAGCTGCCTTGTGAGAGCTCGAGGCTGCCCGAGGACAGAGCCGAGCCCTCGCCGATGACCCTGGGAGATAAACCCCGGGGAGGGGGTGCGGACCGCAGGCGTTCACGGCCGCACTTTCAGCCCGGACTCTGGGGTCGCCAGATCTGAGGGACCGCGAGAGTAACAGGGTAAGGCTCTGTGTATCTGGGCTTCTGTGGCTCTGCTCAGTGACAGGAAGAGCTGCCTCCCGAGCCAGGCGTTGCGGGCAGGCTGTAGGCTGTGTGGGTGCGCGGGTCACCGCGCCGTGGTGCGTGTCCGCGTGCAGGTCAGCGGCTGGAGGGCGTGGCGGCGGCGGCGGCAGCGGCGGTGGGGGCTGGGGGTGGGGTGGCCCCTGGCGCAGAGGGTTAGTAAGTTTTGAATCCCAGAACCAATCCCCCTTCCAGGCCATTTAACCCTTTCGTCTCTCTCCCTTTTCAGGAAATGGGGTGCTCAGCGACTCTTGCTCCCTCAGCAGACAAAGGCTTCCAGCGGAGACCTGGGCGCTGAGGGCGGTGCAAACCCGCTTTCCTTTGTGTCGCGTTCTTCCAGTTCTTCCATGGGGCCAGACAGCTGACAGGTGTGCCCCTCCCCGCCGGATATCCAGCAGTCAGCACCAGCCTTGGGAGCAGAACGTGATGAACCGACACCCTCCCTGACAGCTCAGAAGAGAATCCCTCAAATGCATATTCTATTGAGTGCTTCTCGTTGCTGCGACAGCCACTTTATCAATTAAATTCCATGTTCTCTGTCTTCAGAGACGCCATGAACCTCCCTACCTAATAAATCACAGCCCCCCAGTTATTGTTAAATGTCCTATCAGTCTCTAATAAACTCCCTGCCAAAAGGGGCAGGTTATTTATTATGCTGCCTGGACAAGAATGAATTGGGCTCCTTTCTCTCAAGGAGAGAAGCAAGCATGACACCTTCCTCCCCAGAGACCGAGTCACTGTGGGTCTGGGCAGAGGGGAGTCTGGTCTGGAGCTGGAGGGAGGGTTGCCTGGGGATCTTTTCCCAAAGAACCAGACAGATGCCGGTGGCTGGAGGTGCCTGGGTGGAGGGCAGGGGGCTCAGGCCTTTGCTGCTCCTCTCGCAACCCTAATTCCTGTCTGAAAGTGTGCTGCTGATGTGGTCACTGCCCAGGCCACAGGACAGCATGCAAGGATGGTCAGTCTCCATGATGTTGGGAGGGGTCACAGAATAATGTCTGTCTGGGAGCACAGGTGTCATTTCCTTTTTAAAGATTTATTTATTTGAAAGGCACATTACAGAGAGGAAGGGAGAGAAACAGAAAGAGGTCTTCCATCCACTAGTTCTCTCCCCAAATGGCTGCAACAGCCCTGCTTGGGCCAGACCAAAACCAGGAGCCAGGAGCCAGGAGACTGCGCAGGTGCAGAGGCCCAAGCACTTGAACCATCCTCCACTGCTTTCCCAGGACATTAGCAAGGAGCTGGATTGGAAAGCCAAGCAGTCAGGACTCGCATTGCCGCCCATATGGGATGTTGGCATCACAGGTGGCGGCTTAACCCGCTTTGCCACAACACCAGCCCCAGATGTTATTTCTTGACAAACTTGACACAACTTTATGGCTGGTGCTACACCAAGTGGGGAACCTAGGAGGGAAAGTCCCTGTGTCCAGGCCTCTGTGCTCAGTCACAGTTTGCTGGGTGAGTGGCAGGCAGGTAGGAAGGCCCTCTGATGACAGCGTATCAACACGTCCCAGCCCCATGGCTGTCAGGGTGAGAGACACTGTGCACAGAGGGCCATGCCATTACTGGCCTCCATGTGGACCCCAGGGGTGCACATTGTCCTCCTTGTTAAAATGCCAGTGTCCGCCATTGGAGTGCCTGGCTTCGATTCCCAGCTCACCTCCTGACTCAGCTTCCTGCTACTGAGACCCTGGGAGGCAGGGGCGATGGCCCAGGTGATTGAGATACTGCCACCCACACGGGAGACCTGGAGAGAGTTCCTGGTCCTGGCTATGGCCCCAGACCAGTGTGGGTGATAGAGGGCATTTAGGGAGTGGACCAGTAGACGGGCTGGGAGTTCGCTCACTCTCTCTCTCTCTCTCATCTACCTCTAAAAAATTAAAATAAAATAAACAACAACAGCAAAAACCCCAAACTTAGGCCTACAAGTTAAAATCCCAACTCCTCAGCTTTACTGTGAATCAAGAGCCCATGTGCATTTCCAGCTGGATGTCTCTTGGCTGTTGTGTAACACTACCCTCTCTGGGAGAGCATGGCACCCTCACTTTGTGTGCCTTGTGGTGGCAGATGAGACGCTCCATAAAGGGAGCCAAAATATCCCTGCAGCCTCGTTTCCTGCACACGCGCCATGCTCGCCTCCTCTCGCGCCGGAGCGCTTACCTTCTCCGAGCTATTATGGGTTCTCATGCTTCCACGCCTCTGCACAAACTGTTCCCTGGGCCCAGAATATCTTCCTGAGATGTGTCTGCCGGCTGGGCTCTCTTGCCACCCCCACGGCCACTGAAGTTTGGGACAAGCTCAGACTATCAGCCCCCACTGCTTCCCGGGACTTGAGCTTTGTCTCCTGGTGCTGCAGTCCTGGCAGAGGGCTGGACTCCAGAATGAGGAGAAGGACGACCTTGTGCTTACGGTGTGCCTCGCAGTTCCACACATGCTTTAAACCACTTTGATTGTGAGTACAGATAAGGATATAGAGGGCCTGCGCTGTGGCGCAGTGAGTAAAAGCTGCCGCCTGCAGTGCCGGCATCCCATATGGGTGCTGGTTCGAGTCCCGGCTGCTCCACTTCTGATCCAGCTCTCTGCAGTAGAAGATGGCCCAAGTCCTTGGGCTCCTGCACCCATGTGGGAGACCTGGAAGAAGCTCCTGGCTCCTGGCTTTGGATCAGCACAGCTCCAGCCCATTGCAGTCAACTGGGGAGTGAACCAGAGGATGGAAGACCTCTCTCTCTCTCTCTCTCTCTCTCCTTTTCAAATAAATAATGTTAAAAGACGGATATAGAGGTGTTTTGGCGCCATGGTTTAAGCTGCTGCTTATGAGGCAGGCATCCCATGCAAGAGCTGATTCAGGTTCCAGCTGCTCTGCTTCTGATCCAGCTCCCTGCTCATGACCCAGGGAAAACAACAGTGGATGACCCAAGTGACTGGGGCCCTGTCACCCACGTGGGAGACCCAGATGGAGTCCCAGGGTGCTGACTTCAGCTTGGCCCAGCACTGGGCATTGTGGCCATTTGGGGGAGTGAACCAGTGGATGGAAGAGCTTCTCTCTGTCTCTTCCTCTCTCTGTCACTCTGCCATTCAAATAAATGCTTTTTTTTTTTTTTTAAGAGAGAAGGGTATAGAGAAGAAAGCTCTTCTCTGAGTACCAAAAGCCGTGTTCCCAGTTTCTCAGAAGGTCTCGCACTCCCACATGACAGCCACACTTTGAGCAACTACAGCCCTGAGAAATGTCGGAACTGCCCGTGAGCCTATGCCAGCTTGAACTACTTGCATATTTCAGGCCCCATCATTTCCCTGAGAAAGAGCCTGGGCTTAGCTGTCAGACAGAGCTGAGCCGGAGCCCATTTGTGAGCTCTGTGGCTCTGAGCAGATCCTGCTAGCTTCCACCGAGGGCAGCACCTCCTCCAGCGTGCCTTGTGGAAGGCTGCTGGGATGGGCCCGGCCTTCAGCTCATCACTGCTGCCTTAGCAGCGTGCGTGTTGCCTCCTGCACGCCGAGCTCTTGGAGAACATGCTCAGAGCCTCCTCAGCTCCAGCTCCTTTGCCTGGCACAAGGCTGACTCCTACGCCTCCTCAGGTGTCCGTTGGGCCCTCGCTAGCTCTGGGGAGATGGGCAGGCTGTTGGCTGCCGCCAGTGTCCTTTTCTTCCTCCTCTCCTCCAGCCAGTGCTTACCTGGACACTTAATTGTCTGGGAAAATGACTGGGCTTTGCCAAGTTCCTTATAGGTAGCTAGGACTCCAAGGGTAAATGCCAAGTAGTAGTGTGGTGGATTTTGAGAACCTTTTTTTCTTTTTTAATATTTATTTGATTTATTTGAAAGACAGAGTTACAGAGAAGGGGATAGCAGGAGAGAGAATGAGGTCTTCCTTTTGCTGGTTCACTCCCCAGTTGGCCACAACAGCCGGAGCTGCACTGATCTGAAGCCAGGAGCCAGGAGCTTCTTCCCAAGTCCAAGGACCAAGGACTTGGGTCATCTTCTACTGCTTTCCCAGGCCATAGCAGAGAGCTGGATCAGAAGTGGAGCAGCTGGGACTCGAACCGGCGCCCATATGGGATGCTGGCGCTGCAGGCGGTGGCTTTACCCACTATACCACAGCAACGGGCCCCTTCCTTCCTTCCTTCCTTCCTTCCTTCCTTCCTTCCTTCCTTTTTTAAAAAGATTTTCTTTATTTATTTCAGGGGTGGAGTTATGGGCGGAGGAGAGAGAGAGAGAGAGAGAGGCAGAGAGAAATATCTTCCATCCACTGGTTCACTACTCAAATGGCCACAATGGCCAGAGCTGAGCCAATCTGGAACCAGAGCCAGGAGCTTCTTCCAGGTCTCCTACACGAGTGCAGGGGCCCAAACACTTGCACTATCTTCTACTGCTTTCACAGGCCATCGCAGAGAGCTGGATCAGAACAGGAGCAGCTGGGACTCGACCTGGTGCCCCATATGGGATTCTGGCAGCGCAGGTGGAGGCCCAGCCCACTACGCCACAGTGTCAGCCCCAAGAACTTCCTTAAAAAGGTGCCTGAGGGGCAGCACTGTGGCACAGCGAGTAAAGCCACCACCTGCAGTGCCAGCATCCCATAAGGGTGC